GCACTGTTGGAGGGTCAGCGCTGAGGGAGCACCGCACTGTCGGAGGGTCAGCGCTGAGGGAGGGCAGCATTGTCGGAAGGTCAGTGCTGAGGGAGCACCGCACTGTCGGACGGTCAGTGCTGAGGCAGCACCGCACTGTCGGACGGTCAGTGCTGAGGGAGTGCTGCACTGTCAGAGGGTCATCTTTCAGATGACGTATTACACAAGCCTCACCTTCCCTAACAGGTGGATGTACAAATCGCAAGGTGCTGTTTTGAGGGAGACAGATCTTCTCTGGTCTCTGGGCAGGGATTTTTCTTTCAATTGTCCTCAGAAATATAGACAATCTGCTTTGCATTTAACCTCTCAGCCTGACTCTCTCATGACTAACAGGTGGAACACCCTCTTCAACAAAATCTTGTATTTCTATTGGGCCTTTTGCTAACTGTGAAGAAGAACAGGTAGCAGCTAAATTGCACACAGCAAGGTCCTGTAGAACATAAAATGGACTGTGAACAAATACTTGATGGTAGTTTGAGGTGAGAATTGAAGGGACAGTGATGGTAGTTAGAACCATGAGCATGTACCACACCACGGAGATGTCAGACAGTGGATAGACTAGCACATGGGTACGGGGGAGGGTGGGGTTTGTACTCTCCATGGTGGGGGATTGGTTTGGGGGACATTATTTATTGAGCTGCCCTGTAATGTCCGATGATTGACAGCGAGCTTTCTTGAAGCTCCTGGTCATTCTTCGGAGCTCCCTCTTGCTTCCTCTCCACTGTCTGACAGAGGTGACAAGCAGCCGCCCCTGGGCCTGTTTTCTCCCTGTCAGCAGGTAGGAGGCGCTCAGGTCCCTCAGCTCATCGCAAGTACATCCAGAGCCTCCGGGTAGCCACAGCTGCATCCTCCCATCTCCGCTCTCAGTCCAACCCTCCAGCCCATACAGCACCCTGCTCCGACCTTCTGGAATAATTGTGGCATCATTGTCCAGGTACGAGATCTCCTTCACTTTGACCTTCAGCACTGTGACAATCCAGGATGGTACCCCAGGGGAGAGAAAGACAGGGAGAGTTAAAAAGACCGCACTTCCATTTCACTGACACTTTCTGCCAACTCAGGATTTCCCAGATATTTTACAGCTGGAGAGGCCCCATTGAAAGGTCATCACTGTTCAGATATAGGTAAACTGACAACCAATTTGTGCACAGCATGTTCCCAAGGTCATTCCAAAGCAATGGAATGTTCTTCCAATGATGTTGGCTGACGGGTAAACATTTGATCAATATTGGCCAATACAGGAGGGAGAAATTCCACCCTCACTCTTTTCTCTTCCTTCAAGTGTCAGGGGATCATTTACAACGGAGAAGGAATACAGGGCCTCAGTTTAATATCTCATCCATAAGACAGCATCTCCGACAGTGCGGCACTCCCTCAGCACTGACCCTCCGACAGTGCGGCGCTCCCTCAGCACTG